GATTTTTTTTGTATTAACTCATTAGGTACATCTGCATTTGTGCAGCTACCCTAGACTATATGAAGGGGGAGTACAGTGTGTCAAAAAGCTAGCTACGTGGTGCTAAAAAATCCCCATCGCACAGGATGGTTAGTCTCCGTGGTGTAGTGGTAAGACACTCGCCTGGCGTTCCGCGAGCGCTATGTCATGGGTTCGTATCCTGGCCGGGGAGGATTTACTGGGCGCAATTCCTTAACTGTAGCCTCTGTTTAACGCAACAGTAAAATGTGTACTTGGATGAAAAAACGATTCTTCGCGGCAGGGGATCGTATTCCAGGGACCATAGGATTAAGGACCTGCCCGAAACGCTACGCGTACTAGTGGCTGTACAAGAATGTAACAACTCTTGTATATATCTCAAAAAAAAAAAAAAAAAAAAAAAAAAAAAAAAGTCATACAGAAGCATTGGTGGAAAACGAAGAAGAGGACACAAGTGGAAACTGAGTTGAGCCACAAATACAGTATAAACAATTGTTGTCAGTGTCAAGGTAGTTAACAAATGGAATGAATTAGGCAGTGATGTGGAGAAGGCAGACTTCATATACCATTTCAAATATAGATACGCCAGAGCCTAATAGGCTCCGGAATCTGTACACCAGTTGACTGACAGTTGAGAGGCGGCACCAAAGAGCCGAAGCACAACTAGGTGAGTGTTGTGTGTGATTCCATACATACACCAACACGGTATATACCAGTGATGTATTACTGCTGACGTGCAGGTCATATGATGTTCACCTCGGGGTAGGTTTCACAAACTATACTGCTCCTCTGGTCTCCTCTCGCCACTTGCCATCCTCATTAGCTTACCTTGCCTAAGCCTGTACTGAATTTCAATAGCCACTTGCTACACCACTTGTAACAGTTTGTGGCTATCTTCTGTGTGTGTGTGTGTGTATTCACATAGTTGTGCTTGCGGGGGTTGAGCTCTGCTCTTTCGGTCTGCCTCTTAACTGTCAATCAACTGTTACTAACTACTTTTTTTCTCTCTTCACACCACACACACACACACACACACACCAAGAAGCAGCCCATGACAGCTAACTAACTCCCAGGTACCTATTTACTGTTAGGTAACAGGGGCATCAGGGTGAAAGAAACCCTGCCCATTGTTTCTCGTCGGCGCCGGGAATCGAACCCGGGACCACAGGATCACGCGTCCAGCGTGCTGTACCGAGTGTGTGTGTGTGTGTGTGTACTCACCTAATTGTGCTTGCGGGGGTTGAGCTCTGGCTCTTTGGTCCCGCCTCTCAACCGTCAATCAACTGGTGTACAGATTCCTGAGCCTATTGGGCTCTATCATATCTACATTTGAAACTGTGAATGGAGTCAGCCTCCACCACATCACTTCCTAATGCATTCCATTTGCTAACTACTCTGACACTGAAAAAGTTCTTTCTAACGTCTCTGTGGCTCATTTGGGTACTCAGCTTCCACCTGTGTCCCCTTGTTCGCGTCCCACTAGTGTTGAAAAGTTCATCCTTGTTTACCCGGTCGATTCCCCTGAGGATTTTGTAGGTTGTGATCATGTCCCCCCTTACTCTTCTGTCTTCCAGTGTCGTGAGGTGCATTTCCCGCAGCCTTTCCTCATAACTCATGCCTCTTAGTTCTGGGACTAGTCTAGTAGCATACCTTTGGACTTTTTCCAGCTTCGTCTTGTGCTTGACAAGGTACGGGCTCCATGCTGGGGCCGCATACTCCAGGATTGGTCTTACATATGTGGTGTACAAGATTCTGAATGATTCCTTACACAGGTTCCTGAACGCCGTTCTGATGTTAGCTAGCCTCGCATATGCCACAGACGTTATTCTCTTTATGTGGGCTTCAGGAGACAGGTTTGGTGTGATATCAACTCCTAGATCTTTCTCTCTGTCTGTTTCATTAAGTACTTCATCTCCTATTCTGTATCCTGTGCCTGGCCTCCTGTTTCCACTGCCTAGTTTCATTACTTTGCATTTACTCGGGTTGAACTTCAACAGCCATTTGTTGGACCATTCACTCAGTCTATCCAGGTCATCTTGTAGCCTCCTACTATCATCCTCTGTTTCAATCTGTGTGTGTGTGTGTGTGTGTGTGTGTGTCATCCAATGTGTGAACGTATCAAGGTTATATATCTTCACGTGATAATTTCTTGCTAGGAATGTTGCACATGGCAATTATGAAAATATGACACCCATATAGAAATTAAGGTTATGAGTGTGTACATTAATATTCCTACCAGGGTCTAACCAGCATAGCAAACACCTCGACCCGGGGGATCCTTAGCACCCTTATGCATACAGGGATTGAGAGAGGGAGGGAGGGATGACGCCAGATACAAATTATACAATGTAGACCGTGTATTGAATATCGGTGAAAAGGTGTACAAGGGCAGCCTGGGGTAATTCATGGTGGTATGTTGTTTACCAGGTGGCTGGAAAACGTATTGGTGGCTCTAATTGTTATGCTAATTCAGAATGCTGCATGTGGCGTTTCGCAAAAGTCAGCTGATGTGTGTTTGTTTACGTGCGCGCGTCTGAAGGGTTGGGAAAGAGAGAGAGAGTGCGACTGTATATGTATGATAGGCTAGGAATGCGTTCATTATGTGCATCTGTGGCTGCATAACTAGGATAGCATACATACGTGCGTGGCTATAAAAATACATGTATGTATAACCATAAGAAATAACAGATACGCCTGAGTATCTTTGAAAACACGTGTGTGTGTATAACCATAAGAAAATACAATTAGGCTATGATGACTATACAGCAAACATACTCTCATGTCTGACACGGAAATGGGTTAGTGGCCATATTAACACTTACATGGATACTTAGTTTAGAGAATAATTACGCTATGCTTGCAAGAGGCTTTACGAGAATGTGAAAACATCAATGATATTTACTACCATAATCCCTATGTACCTTCTTGTGTATATATATATATATATATATATATATATATATATATATATATATATATATATATATATATATATATATATATATATAATAAATAACATAGCTATGGGAAGGCTTCATGTAAGTGGGGCTGTGGGCACGGATGAGATGGTGTGTGGCCACGACCATGCCACCAGGAACATATGAGTGCGTGGCGGCAAGGGTACGTGTGTGTGCGTGGCCGGGAAGAAAAATATGGAACGTACGTACCTGTGTAAGTGTTTTATAGTGTTTAAGGAAGGAAGGAAGGAAGGGAAAGGAAGGAAGGAGTGAAGGCAGGGAGAGGTACTAGACAAGCAACAACGCCACATCACCTCACCCACTCCTGGCTGGCCAACATACCACAGCACCCCCGCTCCTCATCCCAATAATTAATCACACACACTAATGTTCGCCGATAGACCGATGACCAAGTGACGATCGCAGAGTATTACGGAGATCATCACTGTGATGAGGCCGGTGTTGGCGAGGCAGGTGTGGCAAGACTGAGCGATGTACACCGGTGTCACCACCTGCCAACACTGACGAGGCAGGTGTGGCAAGACTGAGCGATGTACACCGGTGTCACCACCTGCCAACACTGGCGAGGCAGGTGTGGCAAGACTGAGCGATGTACACCGGTGTCACCACCTGCCAACACTGGCGAGGCAGGTGTGGTAAGACTGAGGGATGTACACCGGTGTCACCACCTGCCAACACTGGCGAGGCAGGTGTGGTAAGACTGAGGGATGTACACCGGTGTCACCACCTGCCAACACTGGCGAGGCAGGTGTGGTAAGACTGAGGGATGTACACCGGTGTCACCACCTGCCAACACTGGCGAGGCAGGTGTGGTAAGACTGAGGGATGTACACCGGTGTCACCACCTGCCAACACATTATTATTGTTTTTAGAGGTACTGTGTGGGGGACGTGTAGTCCTGTGTGTGGTGTGTGGGGGACGTGTAGCCCTGTGTGTGGTGTGTGGGGGACGTGTAGTCCTGTGTGTGGTGTGTGGGGGACGTGTAGCCCTGTGTGTGGTGTGTGGGGGACGTGTAGTCCTGTGTGTGGTGTGTGGGGGACGTGTAGCCCTGTGTGTGGTGTGTGGGGGACGTGTAGTCCTGTGTGTGGTGTGTGGGGGACGTGTAGCCCTGTGTGTGGTGTGTGGGGGACGTGTAGTCCTGTGTGTGGTGTGTGGGGGACGTGTAGCCCTGTGTGTGGGGGACGTGTAGTCCTGTGTGTGGTGTGTGGGGGACGTGTAGTCTGTGTGTGGGGGACGTGTAGCCCTGTGTGTGGTGTGTGGGGGACGTGTAGTCCTGTGTGTGGTGTGTGGGGGACGTGTAGTCCTGTGTGTGGTGTGTGGGGGACGTGTAGCCCTGTGTGTGGTGTGTGGGGGACGTGTAGTCCTGTGTGTGGTGTGTGGGGGACGTGTAGCCCTGTGTGTGGTGTGTGGGGGACGTGTAGTCCTGTGTGTGGTGTGTGGGGGACGTGTAGTCCTGTGTGTGTGGGAAGACACATGTGTAGCGCTGAGTGGGTGTGGAGGGTGGAAGACACATGTATAGCGCTGAGTGGGTGTGGAAAGTGGGAGACACATGTGTAGCGATGAGTGCGTGCGGAGAGTTGAAGACACATGTGTAACGTTGAGTAGGTGTGGAGGGTGGGAGTGGAGACACATGTGTAGCGATGACTGGGTGTGGAGGGTGGAAGACACATGTATAGCGATAAGTGCGTGCGGAGAGTTGAAGACACATGTGTAGTGCTGAGTGGGTGTAGAGAGTGAGAGACACATGTGTGGCGACGACTGGGAGACACGTGTGTGTGTGTGTGTAGCGACGAGTGGGTGTTGAGGGGTGGGCGACACATCTGTAGCAATAGCACCTCCACCCCGCCTCATCTTCCTCCCACCGCCAACCTCACTCCCTTTTTTTTTACTCACCCCATCGTTCAACCCCCTGGCGGTACCCCTTACACTTCCCGACGCACCATTCACTAACTTTCCCAGCCCGTCGCCACGGCTCACTTCGGCCTGCGAGTCGTCAGTACTTACCTTTTCCTTAGATCAAGTTGAGAAGCGTCAGGGTGGCGAAGAATTTACAGAGTGATCCCCTCACTTTCACATCCAATCGACCACTGGCAGCCGAGCAGACGACACACGCACTCTCCCGCGCTTTCCTGCGGCCACAGTGCGCATGCGCCGCTCAAGCCTGCCTCGTTTGCTCCACCTCGAGTCTCTTATCTTCGAAACATTGACATAACTCATGGATTCATATTTTATCATTTATTTCGTTGATATAAACGTGTTCGCGTTAAACTAATAGCGTGGTTTTTCATCTCTGTAATGCGTTTTAAGTGTTATTAATAGCCTACTAGGGGGAATTAATGCGGGCTGGGGGCATCAAAAATATGTTGTTATCCTTGAAAGTTCTAGAGACTCATCCGGCCATGCTAGCCGAAGGTAGGAAATGTGAATTATCCCATAAATGGCGAGGCTTCTCCCGCCCGACGAGCAAGCTGTCTGGTGTGGAGAGACAGCATCACCGCCTTGCTTGTGTCATTGTAAATCAAAGCATAATCCAGTTAACGTAAAATATATGTTTTTTCCGTGAAATCAATGTTTTTCTGCGAAGTTCGAAGTTTTCACATCGCTAAATTTGCTGTATCTTTTTATTATTATTATATTTTGTGATAAAGTGAAGCAGAAAACAATAAAGAAAACTCCATTACTGTACTTATAAACAGATGAATGGAATTCTATAGGATAATAAGAAAATCAAGTAAAATGACAAGTTGAAAAATATGTCTTCATCAACAAAGTCGAAATGCTCGCTAATCCAGCCGCTAAACTCCCTGTTTATAAGTAAAAACCACTTTATACGCGACTCAACTGATCCAGCCCAACCTCACAGCAAATCCATTACCATGAGAACCCCCCCATCCCCACCCACACACACACTAAAACCCCCTGGAAAGTTATCTAGATATTTGTGATGGTCTGAAAGCATATTACGGTTCCAGTAAGTCTACATGTAAATTGATAAAGTAACCTTATGCCGATGCTACCGCCATCTGTTGACCGCACCTGACCCTATGTTCTGTTCCCGGTGGAATGATCTTACTGACACCTGTGTAGTTTCCTTCTTACTATACAAATGTTCCTCAGAAGTGATGTGGGCGGTACCTTGGACGACACCAGGCACTCCACCAGGAGTGGCTAGCAAGGGCAATTCTGAACGCAAGACTTGTTTCAGTGGAACCAAGTAGGGCTTGGTCCCCTGGAGACTGTGAATTAATTGTCTGTGGTATCCAGCGAGCTATTGGTGGTTGGAACGACGCATCCCAGGGTGGCCCAGTTGTGTTAATAGATGGAATTAGCCTCAGTCTATCCTCTATGTTAAGGCTTGTTAGAGGTGAAGCATTTAGAAGTAGCCAGCCAGTGTGTTGCTGGAGTTTCTAAGTAGTGTTTCGACACTGTGATGATATTATGGAGGACTGGCCCATGAATTGGCGAGAAAAGTTGACTCGCGGGCATGAGTACCTCGGAAGAAAGGTTCAGGGAAGGAACCTAGAGTGTTATACGAAGGAAGACTCGCCAGGATGTAAGATCGCAGTTCATTTGTAGTCTCCTGTGTGACAGTGACATAGGGTGTTATCTGTGCTGGATATATGTAATAGTGAATATAGTTGTACATTTGAGTGAATACATGTGGTAATGGTTTTGTGTGACAGTGGTTTGTGTGAATGGTTTGGCAATCCATTCCCATTGGATGTCTATTACAGCTCCGTCCTTAATAACTTAACCCTGACTCGGGGGTTGGATCTGGGAAGAAGAGGCACAAGGCCCTATAGAAAGTTAAATGGAAAGGAACCCGGTTACTGGCTAAGTGAGGCCGTAACAACCTTTGTTGTAGACGGAGATTATTTTAAAAAATTTATAACTTTAAGATAACATAAATTGTTGGTTTAAAATGCAAAAAATATATGTTTAAAACGCTTTCTTTGAGGAATTAAATTTTACGTAACCCTAGACTAACCACCGCTTAACCTAAAGTAATCTTATCCCGTAATCTATCCCGTACAGGGATAGACAGTTGATAATAGCAGAAATTCAGAGGTCGTCACCAATCAATTCCCTTGAGCGGATCTCCACCCTGATGACAGGTTGACTGATGACGTATATACTTTTCTGGAGCAGTGCTTCGTTCGCGTCCTCTGCTCGAATCTCGGCTCTATAAATGGTTTATTCAGGTACGGCAAATACTGATAATTGCCAACATCACCTAATTTATGCCAGGCTTAACTATTTAACACATTCTAATGTGTAATCTTACCATATATTCCCCAAAAAAAAAACTATTTTTGAATTCGCAGTACTTTGAAATTGACGAATGCGTCTTTGGGTTTGGCCGCCGGCTGACCAACCCAGCCTGAGGCAACATGTCCTTAGGCTAGGCTCGTCCAGGCGGCAGACGAACCCAGAGATGCATTCGTCAATTTTAGCGTATTGCGTATTCATATTTATTACCTTTTAATTCAGAAAATATTATTTCATAACCAGAAAGAACTAACTATTCAGCACAAACTTAAATTAGGTAGTCAGATTCTGTTGGGAATTTTTGGTACTGGCATTACGTTGAAGTATTGACACCCGAGAGAGATTCCCTCACCCCTTTTATAACTCTTCCAGTCACGCTAGCTTTGTCCTTAAGTCTGAATAACAGCCGTTTTACCCGAGGGGCCACTGACACTAGTGGCCACGACGAGGACAGTAAGCCGGCGGCTTGTCAAAAGTCCTCCCCCATTTGCTCTGATATGTGAGAATGAAATTTTTGTGTAAGATTGAAGCATAAGTTTCTGGCAGTCGAGAAACAGAGTCCGCCCTCCTCTCTCCTTTTTATCATTATTTGGTTATAAGAGATCTGTTAGACATGGTTTCCCATCATTAAAGCTATGTTGGGGCCTGGAGACAAAGCACATTTGTTCTGTATTTTTTGTTTTATGATTCGCCTCGGTTTCTTAAGGACTTTACAAGGAATGCTTGTTAGAGACACTGGACTGTGGCACCAGTCTTCCTCCTTTCTTGTATATAGGCATCACATTACTTGTTTGGCATTTTGTTTATACTGCAAGCGAATGCAGAGTTGAAACGTATTGCAAGATGGTTCAATGCCTCTTTCAGGATCCACAGATTAACATGTGTGTGCTTGTGTGCAGTGGTGTGTACATATATCAATGGGTGTGTACTTGTGCTTTTAACTACCTGTGCTTGCGGCATCATATTTTATCTTAAAGTTGTGGTTACTATTGGTTACGACAACATCGTCCATAAATGCATTCCAATTGCCGATCACCTGTACAGGGAACGAGAACTTCCTTACTTCTCAAAGACTAGATTGCGTTTTTCAGCTTCTACTGATGTCTGTCCTGCCTTTTTATAATTTAAATAGTTCCTTTATCAACATTCCTCCCCTCAGGATCTTGAATGTAGTGATTATATCCCCTCTGAATCCTCAGGAAGAACCGCACTTCTATGGATCATCCAATGAAGTCGGCAGACATCTATACATTACCACGCGAAGGCTTAGGCTAGGCTACAAGTACCTCTGGGAACTTGTAACTGATGTACATGACGCGATACAATATATAAACTACAGAATACCAACAATAAAATACAATAACAATACAGTACTAACAACGCCACGATTCTTGTTTCAGGAATCATTGATTTCCGAAACAATTACCTACCCACTGTTTACTTGTTGAGCATGAGTTAATATCAACCTGTCCTCTTAATTAATCGTCGCATTTTTGTACGGAATAGACCAATCATTCAAAACTACGGCGTATTATAAACACGAAAGCACCGTAATACTGACGCTTTCTGTGCATCGGCCTCGACGAGGTAGGTGGGTTGCGTGAGTTTGAAAAGCATTGCAAGACGGCAACACCCGTTTCTGGTTAGGCAAAACGGTTTCATTTTTACAGAGGGCATAACTGGGAAAATAGGCTGTCGTTTCGGATGTGTGGTAGATGTTTCGTTTCAGATGTGTTGCAGGTGTTTTATACTAGCAGGTATTCTGAATCACTGTCAGAAAGAAATAGAACATCTGTATTGCTCCATCTTCCTCATTTTTTTCAGTTTTTTTGCAAATAAATTTGTCTACATTCCCCATTTTCTTAAATGGGGAGAAGCATGATTATGTCTTTGTTTCACCGATGTATTGTTTCATCAATGTCTTTGCGTTTCACCTTTCTTATTCGCTTTAATGCATTTTGAAAATAACTTTGCTCGAATTGTTATTAATTCTTCAATTTCTAATATTTATTATACATAAGTATATCCAATAGTATTTTGAGTGCTTTTCCATTTTTCATATGGATACCTGTATGTATTGATACCGTCTCTATAATTATAATAATAATAATAATGACATGATAATGCAAAATAATAATAATAATGGCTAATAGTATCAGCTATAGTATTTATATAGAAATTCGTAAAGTTATGTAGCAAATCACTAACAGTTGCAGGAAGTGTTCATACGGGGGGGATTTTGGGTTAGGTTTGCTGATGTTAGAATATATGGAAGAAGCCTGTCTTCAGAGTGAAGTGAGTATCGCAAGACACCAAACTCATTCTCACTATTACTGGATGTTTGTGGTAGTCTGATAGTGAATTACGGTTCCAATAAAAAGTCTGCTTGTAAACTGACAAGTAAACCTTTTGTTCGAAAGAGAGAATAAAAAGTTTTAGCTTTATTGTATTATAAATAGTTGGTTAAAAAAAAAGTTCTATGCTCATCTAAAGAAACAGCACTAGATGGTCATAGGAACCCAGCTCTGATGTGCAGCGCGTCTGAAAAGATTGATATGAGTATTCTGCTCTTCTTAAAGTGTAGAAATCTTGTTATTTTAGAATTCTGGAATCTGGTAGTGCGTGGGGGAGCTATGTATTCAGGTGCGTTCCCTCTCCCTGTTTTGTGCCTCCAAATATGTGGAATTCTTACATCCAATCCCTGGTACGAGGAAGACAGAATTTTGCATATATTTGATGACCGAAATCAGAAATTCATGAGGACTCTGGAAATTGTTCTGGTATCTCTCGTCCAAACATATATGTACGACTATTTCAGGTGTGGAGCGCAGCCTAAACG